ATGAGGCCCTGTCTCTGTAAAAAAAACAAAATGGCTGGGCATGGTGGCTCATGCCTGTAATCCCAGCACTTTTGGAGGCTGGTGCAGAAGGATTGTGTGAGGCCAGGAGTTCAAGACCAGCCTGGGCAACATAGTGAGACCCTATCACTATTAAAATAAAAACAAATTAGCCAGATATGGCGGCATGTGTAGTCCTCAAATTTCTTGGGAAGCTAAGGTGGGAGGAGCTATGATCACGCCAGTCTCTTAAAAACAAAAGAGTACTTGGTCCAGGTGAAAAGAAAATATAGTAGAATAGCTTAAGCCAAAGCAATAAAATGAGAGCAGATAATTTTATTGCTAGTGTACAGCCTGCATTTAGAGATGGTTGAGATAAGGTGAAGTCTCCTTGTTTCTGCACTGTTATCAACTGGTCTTATATGTCACACAAGAAACTTGGATTTTACCGTGACTGCAATGGATAATCACTGAATGACTTAAGAGTATGACTTGAGCAAGCACGCATTTTTAAAACATCACTCTGCCAAGTTGGAATGCAGAAGGGTAGAGAAGCATCAAGAAGACCATTTGATTTATCCGAGTAATTTACTTGTGAAAAAAATGAGGGTATGGGGATCAAGTTGAGAGTAAAGCAGTAGAAGGCAGTGCTCTGAGCAAACTGGATATGGAATATAAAGGAAAAGAAGTTATCCTAAGACTTAGGTGACTTTGTATTCTTGTTTGCATTGGATGGTTCTGATTATACCTATTCTCTTGTAGTAGTTATTACCAGAGCTCCATTTTACTCTCTAAACAGTCTGTTTGGACTATACGTTACAGGTTGAGTATTCCTTATCCAAAATGCTCGGGAGCAGAAGTGTTTCAGATTTTGGATTGTTTTGGATTTTGGAGTATTGGCATATACATAATGAGATATCTTGGGGACAGGGCCCAAGTCTAAACATGAAATTCATTTATGTTTCATATACATCATACACACACAGCCTAAAGATAATTTTGTATGGTATCTTTAATAATTTTGTGCATGAAATAAAGTTTTGACTGCATTTTAATTGCAACCTGTCAGGTCAGGTATGGAATTTTCCGCTTGTGGCACCATGTTGGTGCTAAAAAAGTTTTGAATTTTAGAACATTTTCTATTTTGGGTTTCCTATTAGGGATGCGCAACCTGTGTATTAATTGCTTTACCATTAACATTTAGCTGTCCGGCTTGGCCTTTAGAAAAGATTAGTGGTGAAGTCAGAGGAGCAGATTGTGGGTGGTAAGGGACTAATCAGGAATAAGATAAGTTCCATTTATACTTGTTTGGTTTAAGGTGCAAGGTAATCTGGTGATATAAATAAATAGGAGCATCCTTATTCTACAGGTAGAAACTGAAAATATGGGTAGATGAAGTAACCTAGGTAGAATACATAGCATAAGAAGAGATGAAGAAAAGAACCTTGGGAATAGAAATATTTAAGAGAGGAAAAGAGAAAGAAGACTCCATAAGAAGAAAGAGAAGGTCAGAAATACATGCCGGTGAAAGTGATCCTATGGAAGCCAAAGGAAGTTTCAACAAAAGGGAGATGATTAGTGCAAAATATTACAGAGAAGTCACTATTTAAAAGAAAACATCTTTTGCCCTTACAAAGTCTATCACATAAAATGGACTAAATGGACACGTATTTATCATGTCTACCAGCACATCATTCTTGTCCTCCTCCAGTCAACTTCAAATATACTCCAGAAGATAGAAAATAAATATTATTATTATTGTTATTATTTGAGACAGGGTCTCACTGTCACCCAGGCTGGAGTGCAGTGGCACAATCATGGCTCACTGTGACCTCCGCCTCCCAGGCTCAAGCGATTCTCCCACCTCAGCCTCCCGATTCTCCCATCTCAGCCTCCCGAGTAGCTGGGACTACAGATGTGCTGCCACCATGCCCGGCTAAGGTTTTGTATTTTTTGTAGAGACAGGGTTTCAGGTTTCACCATGTTGCCCAGGCTGGTCTAGAAATCCTGACCTCAAGTGATCTGCCTGCCTCAGCCTCCCAAAGCACTGGGATTACAGGCGTGAGCCACCGCTCCTGGCCAAAATAAATGTTGATTTTAAAAAATCAATTTCTCTTGTTTTCCTGTCTTAATGCTTTAATTTTAAAAAATGTCTTTCAACAAATGTACTGCTAAACTGGATTCAATTAAAATTTTCAAGTAACTATTTCCTCCTTTTCACGTTACTTTAATAGGCTATTAAAACTAGAAAAGTCGCTGTCAGGATTTTTTGTTTTTGTAAAAGGCAATTTCCAGGGCTGCATTATATGGTCAGTAGAGTCAGTCAAAACTTTGCTACTCTGTTAGCGCTAATACAAGAGAGTGATACTCAACAAGCAGCAGCTAAGGCACCATAAGATCCTGAATCACATAAGATATGATTAAGTTCAACACTTAAATACTGAAACAGTAAAGAATACTTATACAATTTAGATAGATAAGTTAACAAGGATTGAAACTAAAATGATCTATTTTCTAGATTTTATACAATGAGAAAAAAAAAGTCTTACTTAGAAAAAGGCCCAGTTTTGAAATAAAGTGTGAAAGAAAAAAGAAAATTATATCCCAGATTAGAATTCTTCAAAATTAAGTCTTATATACTAAAAACCACTAAACTATACACTTTAAATGGGTGGATTTTATTGCATGTGAATTATCTCTCAAAAAAAGCTGTTACAAAAACTAAGTTGTACATATCACAAAACCTTAAGCTTTTTTAAAAACTGTGTTTAAACACACATGTCATAAAGTTTACCATCTTAGACGCTTTTTTCCTTTGAGACAAAGTCTCACTTTGTCACCCAGGCTGGATTGCAGTGACATAATCTTGGCTCACTGCAACCTCTGCCTCCCAGGTTCAAGGGATTCTCCTGCCTCAGCCTCCAGAGTAGCCAGGACTACAGGCATGTGCTGCCCCGCCCAGCTAATTTTTGTGTTTTTAGTAGAGATAAGGTTTCACCATGTTGGCAAGGCTGGTCTTGAACTCCTGACCTTGTGATCCACCTGCCTTGGCCTCCCGAAGTGCTGCGATTTTAAATGTATAATTGAGTGGTATTAAAAACATTCATATTGTTGTGCAATCATCACCATTACCATCGACATCCACAACTCTCTTCATCTTGCAAAACTAAAAACTCTGTACCCATTAAGCAATAACTCTCCATTCCTTCCACCCCTTAATTTCTGGCAACCACTAAACCTAAAACTTTTAAGTGTTTATTATAATGTGAAATTCTTACCAGATTATGTATAATATTTGTTAAAGTCCAAGCAACAGGAACACTGAAGAAGGGAATGCTGAGTAAGACAATATGAAGCAAGCCAACTCCCAATGCATATGTTAGCCACATACCCCGGCTGTTCATGACACGGGTATTTGGATTCACTTCACTGTGGGCAACTCCAACATTCATGTTTGCTCTATAGGAAAGTAATAAAATGAATCAACACTGATATAACTGGCAACCTAAACACCCCCAATTCTGACATGACAAGGTACATGTGTTACGATGATTATTTTTTCCTAGTTATCTTGAGGTAGCACACAAATACCATCCAAAATATGCTACTTGTAGAGATGCTGCTGACAGCAGTGAAGAATCGTCAACATCTGACTTTATGGTAAGACAAGACTTATTATCATGGTTCTAATTTAAAAAGTAGTTAAAATGCCTTTCCTAAAGTTTGTTTTCTAGCATGCTGTTTTACTAAATAGGAAAATTCAAACTGAAAGAGATAACCTACATTTTCTTATATCATATATGAGAACAACGTGAAAAGCCAAAAGCTAAATTTACCAACATAATAAATTTATATTAAAAAGAAAAAGCAGAACTCACCCAGCCAGTCTGTCAAGTAGCCAGACTCTTATATCTGACTTACTGTATCCATAAAGAATAGTCAGAGTTCAGATCACTTCTTTCTGAATACTGAATGTGGAAGGTACATGCCGTTGACATAATGTGGTGTAAAATCTACATGGTCAAGGGATAATGTTTGTTTCTCAATTTTGTGATACATCTAGGTGAAAATAAGGAGTCTTCGGAATATTTCTCTAGTCAATTAAAAAACTTCAGTTTTCTTTCTTCTCTTTAAAAAAGTTTTTCCCATCTCCTTTCCATTGAAGATGGACTCCAAAGGAAGAACTGATAATAGTTATCAGTTCTTTTAATGATGGTGTTTACTTGGGTCTAAGAATTCCTTAAAATAAAACTGTCCTGAAGAACACCTATCATCCGAGGGAGGGGGAAAACGAGGCTAGATTACATTTGGAACAGCTGTGATTTTAAAATACACAAACGCTTGTATTACGGAGTTAGCATACGGAGAGGAACTTCTCTTTTCCCCATCCAGCAAGTGCTTCCAGAGTATAATGCTCCTTCCCCTCTAGAGACGCACAGAACAGGCATCAAGGATTAAGGGGACGAAAAGTTAGTTACACTAAGACCGCGAGAGTCTCCAATTTGTATGTGTAAATCCTTCGTCTAAACACACATCATTTATCATACATTATTTTAAACTACTTAGAACATGCCAACACTCAAGATAGTTTTCCCACGTTCCACAGGATGGAGGCCTGAAATTTACATCTCAGCTGGAAGGCAAAGCTGGTGCGGTACTCATCCTATTCCAACCAGAAAACCTTTCCCCAGCAGGTTTGCCGCGCTGCCCCGCGACTGCCAAACAATGACTTTACAGACCGTGAAGAGGCCGTCGGCTCTGCCCTCGCCGGCGCCTCCGGAGACGGCGACCCGCAGCGGCCCCTCAAGGGAGTTCCCCCTGCCTGAGCCCTCTGGGACAGAGAAAACGCAGCAAAGGCCGCCGCTGCTACCACCTCAGCACCTCCCCCAACCCGCCCCTTCCTTCTCGCAGCCGCACGTCAGGACCCTGGCAAGACAGCGAAGATTTGCGTAGGGGACGAGCCTCTGAGGCCACGGCTCGCACGGCCACGCAGGGCGCCGCAGATGCAGCCGGACCTCACTTTTCCCTCTCAGGACGACCCTAGGCCGCCAGCAGTTCCCTACGGACGAAGGAGACTGTACAGCGTCCGTCGTGTTCGTGCCCACTTACCCGCCGCCCCACTCCCGGCCGCCGGCTCGCAGCAGGACCAGCCGGGCTGCTACGGCCGCGGATACACGCCCTCAGGCCGGGCGCTGCGTAGCTTGCGGAAGCGTTCACAGACAGACTCGCTGCCAGCGGATTGGCTGCGAGCAGCGCCAATCTTACGTTCCCCCCCGGGCGAGACGGGACTAAGTGCCGCGCTCCTTGTACCCGCTCTGCCGCGCGCATGTTGGGTGCGAGTGCGGGGTCGGGCCTGCGCTCCGGGTGAGACGCTGGCTGCTTGCCGCTGGTGGATGGTAATTGCCTGCCTCGCGCTAGCAGGAAGGTAGTGTGGTATGACTAACGGGTATTATTTTCTCGAGGGCTTGAGGGCCCCCATCCCCTTTACTCGTCCTGGTCCGGGCGCGAACGCTATAGTGCAGCTAAGGGCGCTCCCCGCGGGCGGGAAGCGAAGCCGGGCTTGCAGGCGCGCACACGTGGAGCGCGTTCTCTGAGCTGATCTGGGCTCGGGGTGTTCTGGCTTGGTCTTTGTTGCGGCCCATTCCCAGACCCTTCTGGGTGCAGGACTTAAAATTTGTTTTCCAGGCAGCAAATTTAACCCATGGCAACTGTAACTCATCTTGTGAGGTTAGCGGTTTATAGTATTCTATCCTGTGGCATCATACAAGGGGTGCAAGTTGAACTCTTTAAAGTTAATCACGATGTTTGCTCGTGGCCTTCTGGGTTTATCCGTACGCCCAAGACAGGCACCTGTATTACACATACTGAGGAAATGTGGATACCAAAAACTGATCCTGAGGAAAGTCTTGATTAGATTTTTTGGAATCGCCTTTGAAATGTAATTTCCCTCACCTTGGCAGTGCGGAAAGTTTGTGATCTTTATTGCCTAAATAGCTTTCAACATTTTAAAATTGACTTAAGAGAATGTTCGCTATGTATATGTATCTTGAATTTCTGTTGGCTTTGTGAATTTGTTTTGGATTTAGTCTGATCTTTAAATAAATGATTTCTTTGTGTTCTCTCTAATGAAAGTCTGTGAGTTCTCTGATCTTTACTTCTTTTTTCAGGCAGACCTGTTGTCCTTAACTGACTTTCCGGGTCATCAACATTCCTTCAGAAGTGTTCCTTTTCCCTCTCAGTAAATATGGAAGACTGACTATCCTGATATTCCCAGACATTCTTTGCTGTGATTTATAAGCCCAATATAAACCATTCCACTTTTCCAAAAGCATTCATTTGGTACACATATGGTATAGAGTGCTATATTCCAGGGGCTATGCTAGGAATGTGTGATTGATATAAAACCCCTGTCCTCAAAGAACTCTGAGTCAGGAGGAACAGACAGAAACACATATTAATAGAATAACTTGTGATGAGGTTAATTAGAAATGAGGTAAAGGGGGACTGCAGAGGAAGGAATACCTACTCTGTTGACAGGTGAAGGAAAGGAGGCTGCAGCAGTGAAGAAAGTCTTTCTTGAAGAGCTGATACTGAACTAAATCTGGAGGGATGATTAGAAGTCAGCTGAGAGAGAGAGAGAACCATGTGAACTGAGGAAGGAGTGAGTGTCACCATGTTAAGAGAGATGAGTTGGTTGGGCACGGTGGCTCACGCCTGTTTTCCCAGCACTTTGGGAGGCCGAGGCGGGCGAATCACCTGACGTCAGGAGTTCGAGACCAGCCTGGCCAACATGGTGAAACGCTGTCTCTACTAAAAATACAAAAATTAGATGGGCATGGTGCTGCGCTCCAGTAATCCCAGCTACTTGTGGGGCTGGGACAGGAGAACCGCTTGAACCTGGGAGGCAGGTTGCAGTGAGCCGAAATTGCTGCACTCCAGCCTGGGCAACAGAGTGAGACTGCCTCAAAAAAAAAAAAAAAAAAAGTAGTGCAGTATCCATCCCCCTAGAGCACATTTGGGCAATGATGGGATGACTGGGAGAGTAGGCAAAAATCCAATTGTTAAGAAGTTTGTACTTAACCTGGTTGGCAGTTGGAAACCTTTATAAAAATTTTAAGTGGGGCAGCAACATGATGAAATTTAAATACAGAAAGAACCCTATAGTGGTTGAGATTTGAGTCAAAATATCAATTAGGTGGTTACTGCAATAGTTCAGGAGAGAAAGTTTGAGAGGCTGAATGGAGGCAGTACAAAGAGGAGAGGACTAGTTTGGGAAACTGTGAGATCTAGATAGTAGGGGAGAGATGACTGGGTGGCAGGATGTAGAGAGTGAGTAGAATTTCTAGGATGACTTCAAGGTTTCTAATTTTGCTTTATGTGCCTGGATGGAAAGTGTTTAAGAGCAAGGGCTTTGTAGTCAGACGTGCCAAGGTGTGCATCTGCCACTTAATAGTTTTGTGATCTTGAGCAAGTTACCATGCCTTTAAATCCTATTTGGTGATAAAGGTTGATAGAATTCATAGAGTTGTTTTGAGGATTAAATAGAATACTATATATAAAATTCTTATGTTGGCTGTTATTTTTATTATCAAACAAGAAATACAGGAAGAAAGCTGATTAGAGTTCTGTCTTGGTGGCTCATGCCTGTATCCCAGCACTTTGGGAGGCCAAGGCAGGCAGATCACCTGAGGTCAGGAGTTCAAGACCAGCCTGGCCAACATGGTGAAACCTCGACTCTACTAAAAATACAAAAAATTAGCCAGGTGTGGTGGTGGGCACCTGTAATCCCAGCTACTCGGGAGGCTGAGGCAGGAGAATTGCTTGAACCCGGGAGGTGGAGTCTACAGTGAGCCGAGATTGCCCATTGCATTTCAGCCTGGGCAACAAGCGCAAAACCTGAAACCCCGTCTCAAAAAGAAAAAGAAAGTTAGAGAAAGATTCTCTGATCAGTTTGGGACATGTTATGTTTAGGTTGCCTTCAGCTCATCTAAATGATGGTATTTAGAAGGTAGTTGGAAGTAAGGCCCTAAAGTTCAGAAAAAAGTGTGAGATACAGGTGAGCTGGAGGATAATATGGAAGCCAGTTGAAATTATGTATGTAAAGAGAAGGAGGATATTTTTTCTAACGTTTGCGTTAGCATAGGAAAGATGCTGGTAAATTATATTTAGTGGTCCTTCATTAATATTCATGAAGTGAAGGGCTTGCCATGAGTGAAGCATTTGATTGTTCTGCCTGGCATCCTACATTCAAAAGTTGTACAGCAGAAAAAAAAAAAGTTTTGCAATTCAGGACAGGGGTATAGTAGGTTTAATTATACAATTTAATCTTTACAGTTAATAATATTTTACATTGATTTACATTGATGATAGGATAAAGTGATATTTGATATTTTGAATGTATTAGATTATCCAAATACATAATTAAACTTCACTTTTTCATTTTTTTTTTTTTACCTTTTTTAATGTGACTACTAGAAAATTTTAAATGATATATATGGCTTATAGTTTTGTTGAACAGTGCTGGTTAGAGTACTGGTTAAAATGGCTGGCTCTGAAATCACACTACTTTGGTTTTATCCTAGCTCTTACTAACAGCTATATAATACTGAGAAAGTTAAACTTTCAAAAACTCCATCAGCTAATCTATAAAATGGAGATAATACAGATATCATATGCTTATGAATTTGGGAGAGACACAAATATTCAAACTGTAGCAATTAGGAGAGAAGAAAGATGACATGACATGGAAGAAGAGTATGAAAAGAGATGCAGACATCTTAAGACCAGAGGACACAATAGGATGGGGTAAAGTGTGATAGAATTCATGCTATGAATTGCCATGATCTTAGTAAACTAGAAGGATGAGGAATATTGCCATGAAATTATAGAGATTTGAAAAAAAAAAAGATTTTGGATTTGTCATTGTAGTAGATGAGGTATTGCAGGGAATGAGACAAAGATGATGAGATTAAGACTGCTCAGAAGGAGTCAGTCTAGGTTTATACCCTAAAGTTTTGTTGATCAGTGTTTTTCTTAGATCCTTGGGATTTCCTAGGTAAGGTAGAAGACTTCTTGAACCCAAGCCTAATGTGTGAGCCCCTTTGGGGTAGGGGTTAGAGGTGGGCGGATTGTTCATTTAGGGGTTTAGAGGAGCTCAATTTAGTCCCAGTACCCTGGGATGTTTTTAGCATTTATTTGCCAAACACTGTAATACGTTATTTATATATACTACCTTATTTACTTCTCACCACAATCATATTATATCATTATTAGATCCATTTTGTAGATTAGGTGATTGCATTTTAGAGAGTTTAATTTCCTCAGTGTGATATACCTGTTAGTGTAAGAGCTGGGATAAAACCAAAGTAGTGTGATTTCAGAGCCTGCCATTTTAACTACTGCTCTATCCAGCACCGTTCAATGGAACTATAAGCCACATATGTCATTTTAAATTTTCTAGTAGTCACATTAAACAGATTTTTTTAAAGGTTAGTTTTAATATATTTTATGTAATCTAATGTATCCAAATAGGACATTTTTTTTGGTCCAATAAAATCTTGATTCTATAGAGGAATTGTATGTTGCATGTTGTCAAGCTTGTGCTTTTATTCCTGTAATGTTTTCTGTAATTAGGCAATAAGATGCAAAAAGCACCCCCCTCCCTGCATGCTTTACAGATGGAATTTCCATAGGACATTTTTGGATTTTTTGTTTGTTTGAACAAAGGATTTCCAGTTACCAACAGATTTTGGATCTGCAGGTTGGATCTATAAAGGACCTCAAATGCCAGCTTAGAGATTTGAGCTTTATATTGGCTTTGAGGAGCCACATGATTAAAATAATGTAGGCAGAATAATATAGAGGATAGTTATCTGACATGTCTGGTATGAGACTAGTTCAGATTAACAGTAATCCTAACTCTAAAGGAGCTCAGTGATTGAAAAAGACATTATAACTCATCAGAATGTATGGATGACTAATGATGTTTAAATGAGACTGTTGGTAAGGCACATAACTGATTGTCATCCACTTCCCAAAGTTGTATTATCGCTTGGTCATTCTCAGCCAACATTACACTCATTATAGCACAATTGTTCTCATTATTCAGTTATTACCATAGCATTTGTTTTTAAGAAATCTTTTTAGAACATGCATGTCTTGATTCCAATATTTGTGAGCTTTCAGTGATCCACTGTAATGAGTTTGGACCAAGATATAGTTGGCACAGACATTTAAGGAAATAGATTTGAAATAAAAATCTCAAATGAGAAGTTCTTGGGCCCAGTTACTTACTCAGCTTTCAGCCTCTTAAACGGCCATAATAATAAGTCTAATTTTTATACATAGTACCTACTTTTTATGGTTTAGAGGTTTAAATGCAATCCCATATGTAAAGTGTTTAGCACAATGTTTAGCATACTATATATTTAATGTAGTAGTTGCTGTTCTTATTGTAATCATCATTTTAGTTAACGGCAGTATAGACTGGGTGACCAAAGGTGAAGAGTCATTGAGGCTAATTAGGAAATTATATTGGGAACTAAATGTGAGAAATACTGAGAAAAGAATTGAGAGGATTTACGAGTTGATTAGATTTGAGTCAGGGTGAATGGATTATTCCTATAGGAAAGTCATGGGTTTAGGGTAGGGATTGGTTAATTATTCCTGGAGTTTGAGCTAGTGATTATTTCAGCAGGCAGTTGGAAATACAGGGTTCGAGTTTGCAAGAAAAGTCAGAATTGATGATAATAATTAGTCACACGAAAGTCCTGGAAGAAATTAGAAAAAAACAATTTCTTCCTCTAATGTTACTGTGGACTTTTTTTTTTAGGTGCTTGTGGCAGAATATTGTGGATTTTTTGAACCCATTTTTGGTCATTTTTATTCGTAGGCATTTATATGTATTAATATATTACATATCAATAGAGAAAATGTTGAAGGACTTGCCTTAGCTCTGCCTCTTAATAGCTGGATGACCTTGGACAAGTTTTCTAATTTCTTTGTGCCTTAGTAGTTTTATAAAATTGAGGTGATAATGGCACCTGTTTTCGAAGGGTAATAGTAAGAAGACTTATGGCTGGGCGCAGTGGCTCATGCCTGTAATCCCGATACTTTGGGAGGCCAAGGC